AACCTGGAGGGGGCGCTGGGACACGTCGCTGGTGGTGAGCGCGCCGACTTTCGCCGATCGTTTGCGACGGCAGCGTGCATTGCATGCGATGTCAAGATTGACTCGAAGGCCTCCAGGAACGCTGCAAAGCAGTCACCGAACACCGCAGGAAGGGGCGCGACAAGTGAGCATATCTGGGGATGCATATTCAGTCGCGCTTCCGTGACGACATTGACGGCTATCCAAGTCCCAAAGAGCCTGGCCATATCTTTCGCCCTGTGTAAGATCTGAAAATTAGCGATGCCCCCAGGTCTATATCGACAACGTGCCTGAGCTCCAGGAGCGGGATTGCACCAATCTGATCGCGACTTGATTCGGCGTCCTTTGGCCTGGTAACGCCGCTGGGCGTGCCATCGAGGTGCTCCGCGGTTTCTCGGCGATTTACCAGAGCGCGGGGTCTTTCAGACGGGCGTTGTGGTGGTCCGACTCGTAACCCGTGCGGTAGCGCAAGAGTTCATCGACATCATCGATGGCTTGGACGAGGCACTGGAGTAACTTTGTCGAATCTGTGCGGGCACCCCGCTGCCATGGAGATGATATTGTTTGGCCGCCTAGTTTGATATGGCAACGCGCGAATCTGATCGTCAGCACGCGCGGGAATAGTAACTTCAGGCCGATGCACACCTGGAAGCAAAACGACTCGTTTCATCGGCCTCCCTGTAACCGAGCAGCACATGCAACTATAAGGTCTTGTGGCAAACGCGGGTTCCCTCGGAGGAGTTTTTCTTATGGGTCGTTGTGAGTCTTACGATGGTGATAGTGATGATGGTGATGGCGATGCTGATGATAGTGGTAGTGGTGGTGACGAAGATGATGACGATGGGTAGGAGGAGGTGGCGAACGAAGAGGCAAGGGAAGGATGAAGGGGAGGAGAAGGAAGAAGAGGAAGAAGAGGCAGCGACGTGGGGGGTGGAGGAAGAGGCGCCGGAGGGGATGGGGATGGGACGGTGGGGCGGGGGGGCGGGTCGATTGAGGGTTTGAGGAGGGGTAAGGTAGATGATCAGGGGGTGGAGGATTATATGTCTGTGCAGTGGGCTAGAGCTTCGCGAACAAGTTCGGAACGATTGTTCCTACGATCAGTCTTGGTGCTCCCTTCGGACCGACAGTTGTCGAACAAACGTGCCCTGTTCCTATTGCCTCATGCGGAAGCGGATGTGAGACGGATTAAACGGATCAGGAACAGGATGGGCAGGACGAGGGGAGGAGGAGATCGAAGCGGGCGATGATGATGCTGATGATGGCGATCATGGGTTGATGGCGATGATGGTGACGTTGGGGGTGTTGATGCTGCTGTTGTTTTTGATGAGCACGAGATAGAATATGATAGGGCATACGTACATGCTGGCGAAACGGACTCCAACATTATACACGTACACGCACATTCACACATACATACATACATACATACGTACGTACGTACGTACGTACGTACGTACATGCATACATACATACATACATGCATACATATATACCTACATACATACATACATACATACATACATACATACATACATACATACATACATACGTACGTACGTACATACATACATACATACATACATACAAACATATATGCATACATACGTATGTACGTACGTACATACATACGTACATACGCACCCACACACATACATACATGCATGCATCCATACATACGTACGTACGTACGTACAGACATACACGCACGTACACACATACATACATTCATACATGCATACATACAGACATACGCGCACACACAGTTATACACATATACATGCATGCACGCATGCGTGCATGCGTGCATGTGTTCATACATACATACATACATACATGCATGCATGCATACATATATATATATATATATATACATATACATACGTACATGTATACATACGTACGCACATACATACATACATACATACATACATGCATGCATGCATGCATGCATGCATACATAAACACGTACATTTGTGTGTACTTGACTATGGATATAGCGATGGGGGTGGTGATTGTAGTGCGTATTGTTCCTGTTTGCTTTCGTGTAACATTGTAGGTCTGATACATTTAGTCATACCAGTATTACTATGGCCGGGGTGAGTACTAGGATGCTGATGATGTCAGTGCTGTGGTTGGTGATGATGAGGCGGGGCAAGGGGATGTATCTGTTCTGCTAGTGTTGGCCCTTCTCTTTCTGGTCCCTTTGCTCCACTTGCTTTCTTGTCATAGCAGCTGCCGTGCCTCCTCCTCGCCCACCTTTCCGACAGGGCGGCGCGATGAGCTGGAACTGGATCTGGAATTTGCCACGTGACACGGCAATAGGAGTGGAGTTTTGGCACCAGCCAGGCATGCGATGCAACGCTCCCGCGGCCCTCGACACGCTTGTGTGCGTTGAGTCATTTTCCCCCTCGTGCTCAGGATCTATGGCCAGAGCCCCCGATGGATACGAGACATATACTTATGCCCATCGGGGGTACTCTGCACTGACTGGGGCGAACGCGCTCGTCCAACGGCTGAGGTCCATATCACCAACGCTCCTTACAAACCCACAGCCTTAAATCCCAGTGGAGCGGCATACGATGAGATGGGTCCACAGCGCCTCCTGCTGCATGGAGCTGGTCCGCCAGGGGCTTGCGACCGATTCCACTATTGTCCTTGTGTGGAGCGAGGCAGGGCATCCGCCTCCAGGCCGTCGTCCGGGCCTCGGTGGCTGAGCCCTCACATCGGGGGCGGCTGGGGGGCGGGGCGGAGCGGTGCGGAGGCGCGATGAGGGAGAGGAGGAGGACGGGACTGTTGAGGAGCAGGGGGAGAAGGACGAGGAAGAGGAGGAAGAGGAGGAGGAGGAGGAGGAAGAGCGAGGAGCGACGAAGAGGATGAGGAGTGAGGGAGAGGATTCGCGATGATGATGATGATGATGATGTTGATGATGATAATGATGCTGATGATGATGATGACGATGATGATGATGATGATTTTGATGATGCTCATGATGATGATGATGGTTCTGATGCTGATGCTGATGCTGATGTTGATGTTGATGCTGATGATGATGTTGATGATGATGTTGATGATGAGGATGATGTTGATGATGAGGATGATGAGGATGATGCTGATGATGATGCTGCAGTTGATGATGATGCTGATGATGATGTTGATGATGATGCCGATGCTGATGATGCTGATGCTGATGGTGATGATGCTGATGTTGATGATGATGACGGGCACAGTGATGACAACGCTGATAGTGATGATGGCGGTGAGGATGGTGACGATGGTGATGCATTTGCTGCTGATACTGATCGAGGTGATGGTGCTGATGATGGTGATGGTGATCATGATAATGATGATGTTGATAATACTAATGTTGATGATGATTGTGTTGCTGATGATGATGGTTGTTATGGTTCTGTTTATTGTGATGGCGATGGTGTTGACGACCATGGTGATGATGACGATGGTGATGCTGATTATGATGCTGATAATGATGATGGTTATGATGATGCTAATGATGATGATGATGACGATGATGATGATGATGACGATGATGATGATGATGATGATGATGATGATGATGATGATGATGATGATGGTGATGCTGATGATGATGATGATGATGATGCGGATGGTGATGGTGATGGTGATGATGACGATGATGATGATGATGACGATGATGATGATGATGATGATGATGATGATGGTGATGCTGATGATGATGATGATGATGATGATGATGATGCGGATGCAGCTGATCATGCTGATGAAGGATGCTGCTGATGATGATGCTGATGATGATGATGCTGTTGATTATGATGCTGATGACTGGTGGTGACGGTACTGATGGTGGTGATGATGGTGGTGGTGATGACGATGACGATGGCGATGTCGATGACGCTGACGGTGACGAAGACGATGACGATGCCGATGATGATGTCATTTGTTATGTTGATGATGATGATGATGATGATGATGATGATGATGATGATGGTGGTGGTGGTGGCGATAGTGAGTACGGCTATTCGGGTGCTGCTGATGACGGTAGTTGTGGGTATGATGATGATGATGTTGATGACGGTTCTCATCATTATTGTTGTGATGCTGAACGGTGTTAGTGCTATGCCATTTTTAATGATACTAGTGTTATTTTTTGATATTATTATTTGAGTATCACTGTTGCTATTATGATGAGTATGATTAGTATGATGAGTATGTTGATGATGCTGCTGATGGTGATGATGATGCTGATGATGCTGATGCTGATGCTGATTATGATGCTGATGATGGTGATGTTGCTAATCCGATTCGCAATTATTTTGCTTATGATTGTTATTATAATAACTATTATTCTTATTCGTAGTCGTATTCGTATCAACAGTATCGTTATTACCGTTTATGCTTAACTATTTTTCTGGTATAATAGTTGTATTACATAATTACTTTGTGCTTATGTATTCATTCATTTTATTTGTTATAGTTATCAGAATTATTTGCATCATTCCGTTTATTATTATTATTGTTGTTGTTATTGCGATTCGGCGGAGGAGGCGGAGGAGGAGCGACGTCGGTGGTCATGAAGACGATGGCGACGAGGAGAAGGAGGAGGAGGAGGAGAAGGAAGAGGAGGATGATGAGGAGGAGGATGGTGGTCTGTTGATAGTGGTGGCGAGGCAGAGGAGAATGCGGACGAGGAAGAGGTGGAGGGGGTGAGGATGAGGAGGAACCTAGGCAACTGCTGGTCACAGCGATTGCACTTCTGGACCCACGGCGCAGGCAATACCCAGTACCCCTTCTCCGAGGGCAGGCGGGGGAGAGGAGGACGAAGAGGAGGACGAGGAGGAGGAGGAGGGAGGAGGAGGGAGGAGGAGGAGGAGGAGGAGGAGGAGGAGGAGGACGAGGATGACAAGGAGAACGAGGAGGAGGAGGAGGGAGGAGGAGGAGGAGGCGGTCGGGGCCCGCCCTGCGAGAGATCTCACACTCTCCGGCAGGAGGCCGCCGGCGGCAGCCCGATGCTGGCGCTGCGCGCCGCCCGCGCGACCGAGCCCTTCGCGGGCCCAGCGGGCTCTTTCGAAGGGGAGGGAGCAGGGGGGGAGGAGGATCCCCCGTGTTTTCCTCTAGTTTCTGGGTTTTCGTCTTCCCCCCCACTTCCCATATTTCCCCTCCAGTTTCTGGGGAATCGACGATGGCTTGTGTCTCTGTGTGTGTCCCCCTTTGAAGGGAATCGACGATACCTTCGAGGGAGCAGGGGGGAGGAGGATCCCCCTTTGAACGCCCGAAATGGGCTTTTGAAAGGGAAGGAGCAGGGGTCGCTAAGTCAAAACAGATGCCCAATCCCAAAAACGCGGGGGCCAAGGCAGGAGGCAGACTCCTCTCGAGACTTCGGGGGGGGAGGTTTTGGGGTAGGGGTTTACCAGGGCGACGACGACGAGCGCAAAACATACCCCGAAATCTTTGGCCGATCTTCGAATCCTCGGTGAATCCGCGATTTTGGGATTGGGGATGTGTTTTTTCGTGGTCAAGGGGGGAGGAGGATTCCCCTTTGGAAGCCCGAAATGGGTACGGGGAAAATGGGCACAATGCCCAACGAAACAAATGTTGTCCCAGACCAACAGCGGCCGCTGCTGGGCGGGCAGGCGGCCTTCTGTCTCGAGTGAACACAGGCCGCGGCGGCGTGGACAGCGAGTCCTGTTCAAAATGAACAGGGGCTGCTGTTGGGCATTGTGCCCAATATTTCCATACCCATCTCGTTCGTGCCGATCCCCCTGCTGCTACTTCTCCCATCCTCTCAGAGACTCCCTTCTCCTCCGCTTCCCCGTTGAACAACCTGTGCATTTTGTTTGATCTTTTCGGGCGGGCACGGAACAATAGAAGCAGGGCAAAACACACAGGGCGCGAAAAGTGAAAACGTGGGAACTTAGGACGTCGCTGCATGCATAATGCCAAACGCGACAAGCGGGAAAGCTGAACAACAAAAACGTTGAGATGTGATGCCTCCTCGTACTCCACTTCGCCGTTCTTTCCCTACTCGCTCTACAATTTTTCCATGTCTTGTCTTATTTGACCTGCTCAAGTTCTGGCTCAACTGTCCACTCCGCGTGCCAAATACCTTCTTGTTTTTGATTTTTTTGCCCCAAACTGTTGATTCAAACGTATGCCCTTTCGGGCCCCCTTCTCTGCACTTCTAGTGCTCGTTCCTGGTAAGTAGCTTCTCCTGCTCTGCCTCCCAGCTGGCCGGTGGCCAGTCAAAGCGGCGGGCTCCGAAGCAGGCCCCCTTTCCGCCGATGCTCTCTTCCGCCCGCCCGTTTCCGCCAGGCCCGCTTCCGCCTCGACCCGTTTCCGCCTTGCCCGTTTCCGCCCAGCCCGTTTCCGCCCAGCCCGTTTCCGCCCGGCCCGTTCGTTCCCCCCTCCCGTTTCCGCCGTCGCCAAATCTTCGGCGGGGGCTCTCTCGCCTCGCAGAGTGTTTTTTTCTCCCGCCTGGCCCGTCTCCGCATAGCCCGTGGCAGGTAAGGAAGATGTGCATCCAAAGGGGGGTACGCTGGAAGACCAACAGGGCGGGCATCGAGGGTGTAGGATATTCATGCAGAATGAGACGCGAGCCAATAATAACGGACAGTCTTAAAAGGATAGTTGAACCTTAAGTATGAAGCAGTTGTTATTGTTGGACACCCTACAGGCGCCCTGGCGTTCTCGCCTCGGCGCTGGCTGTATTTCCTTTGAAAATGAGGCTCGCGCTCAGGCGTTTCGGGGTTGCGTCGAAACCGCCCCCCCCAGCAAGAACAACAACAACGACAGCAACAACAACATTAATCACAACAACAGCATCAACAACAAATAACAACAACACAACCAGCAACAGCAGCAACAACAACAGCGATAACAATAACAGCAACACCTAACAACAAACGTAGCAACAACATCAGCAACAGCAGCAGCACCACCACCACCAACAACAATCATGCTTGTACTGTTCGCTCTTATTTGCTCGCGGACTCAACACGTATATCCCAAACCCTCGATACCGCCTTCTTCATCTTCGATCGTACCCCCTTTGGGGTATATGTCGTCTGAGCAGCTGCCCGACAAATTCAAGGAGTACGAGCTGGGATCAATGGCCTCGCGGAATCCGACAGTGCCAGATGAAAAGATACGGCAGCCTGCAAGTGTCTTTCCTTTTTGTAGGGACATGCCGTGGCCTTGCCGCTGCCAGACAAGGATTCACGTGGCGGCATTCCAGTGGAACAGATGATGTGGTTCGGCAGATACTTGGGGGATGATGGCGGAGGAAGACTTGATGGCAGAGGTCGTCCTGCCAACTCCTCATCCAGTGTTTGGAATCATATCGTCAAGCCGCCTCCAAGAAAATATTAACTATTGTGGCGCAGTGCTTGCCGCGCTGGGGCGCCGACGCAACCCTCCTCCACGGTCCGGACATGAGGTTGGCCAGCTTGGGCTTGACGTCTACCAGCACATTGGGAGCACTTTTTCTCGGCCTTCTTTTTCTGTCGAAAATTGACCAGCTGACCCCCCTCGAAGTTCAAATGCGTAATCGATTTCACGGACATGGATGCGCTCTATTCTGACAAAATGGGACTGGATATCGCGGAGCTATACGCGCCTGGGTACACCAAAACAACAGAGTCAGTCCGCGTTGATCATCAGGTCAAAGCAAGTTTCCACCGTCTGGCTGCGTCCCATTGCAGAAAAGAGCACTCCCCTGAGGATCTTGTAGACAAAGAGAAGGGTGGCTCGACGGGCGCCTCGACAATCACCAGGACGAGTGGTGAACTTGCAACGGCAGTTGTCGTCGGCGGCCTAGCAGCGATGTTCGGCTTCAGCTACTGTGCCGCCCGTCGAACGGCTTAGTTTGAAGGTATCGGAGATGATCTTCGCGCTGCATGACGAATCGATTGGTACCGAACAATTCCGCTCTGTCGCGAGACAAATTTTCGGGGTCCAACTGACGGAGTTTTATGCCAGTGACACGGGCGACGACGGGCACGGCGACGATCGATGTCGTTACGCCGTCTACTACCACGAACAAGCAAACACCTATGGCTATCAATTCCCCAACGACCACATCCTCCTGCCAGGCTGGCACAGGTGCCTGGACAAGTGCAACGACGAGATTTTCATCCACAAGGACCTACAGCAATGCATGCCGCATCCCCACTACGCCCCGACCCTCGCGTAGCCCCATTATTGGCATTTGAGTTTCAGCCTACTGGGCCAGTACCTAAGTCTCCAGAACGCCACGCCTGCAGACAACCGCCTCCCACCTGGCAAACGCACATCCGGACGTGCGCAGCCTCGATTGGGCAATGGCTCGACAGCTTTTGCCAACTACTTCCGTACCGACGAAGAATTTAGGCGAGCAGTAGTCATCGCCAACATATACTTCTACACACTGTGCACAGGCCACAGCGGCCCTGACTTTCCACGCCACGCAGGCCATCCAAGTAGTCTCACAGTGGCTCACCTCTGCCAAAGCTACGAGGAAGTCATGAGATCAGACTGGCCAGTGAGCATACACGACGCAGCTGCGCTCCTGCAACAGATCTGCAGCCCTGCAGCAGCACGCAGCCCATGCCAAGACCGAGTGTATTGCGGGAGACCGCCCGCAATGCCGTTGAAGGAAGTGTTCAGCGAGAGCCCCATTTTGAAAAAGGAAACGCTTTATGCCTGCGCAATGTATGCGCCATCCAAATTTTCGGGCCATCGAGTTCGAGGGGTTTTCGAACGAGGGCCGCACGTTGAAAGCATACCGTCGTCCATCCTTGCATTCGTTGGAAGCTTGTACAATTAAATTGCGCGGTGTTGAAGCGAAAGCCATATTTCGTAAACCACCAGCCCTCCATCCGTGTAATTGTTGGAAATGCCGCTCGTGCAACATGCTTTCCACCCATGCAACTCTTTAAAGCGCCGCTATTGCGAGAGCCGCAGTTCGCAAACCACGGGCCCTCCATGCGTGTAGATGTTGGAAGCGCCGCTAGTGGGAGAGTCGCACTGTGCAAGCCACTGGCCCACTATCCGTGTAATCGCTGGAAGCGCCGCCAGGGCGAGAGCCGCATTATGCAAGCCACGGGCCCTTCATCCCTGCACCTGTTGGAAGCGCCGCTAGGGCCAGAGCCGCATTTTGCAAACCACGGGCCCTCTGTCCGTGTAGATGTTGGAAGCGCCGCTAGGGCTTTTTGCCAACATGGTTTTGTGCAACGGGCTTCTTACTTGTCTCTGAAGAGCAAGTGTCTGCGAGACCTCAGCCAACCAGCGTTTCCTGGGGATGCTTGGTCTTGTTACTGTACTGCATTTCCCAGGTTGTTTGCTCTTGTTTGCCTGTTGCAATCCCCAGGTTGTCTGTTTTTTTGTGATTGCATCTCCGGGTTGCTTGGTCGCGTTTCCTTGTTGAATTCGCAAGGTTGTTTGGTTTTGTTTTCTTATTGCATTGCCCGAGTTGCTTGGTCGCGTTTTTTACTGCATTATCCGGGTTGTTTGGTCTTGTTTCGGTATTGCGTTCCCAGGTGTGTTTGGTCGTTTTCTTTATTGTGTTATCCGGATTGTTTGGTCTTGCTTCCATGCTGCATTCTTTCGTTTGCTTGGTTTTGGTTATGTATTGCATTCCCCAGGTTGATTGGTCTGATTTTCTTGCTGGCCTCGGGATGCTTGGCCTTGTTTCCTTCTTGTCATCCGACGAAGGCATCTATACACCACCACCGTGCCAGGCCAGGGCCATCCTGGGCCCCAGGATGGTGTATAGACCCTCCTGGCTCGGCCAGGAGGGCGTATACACCATCCCAGGGCCCAGGATGGCCCTGGCCTGGCACGGTGGTGGTGTATAGATGCTTTCTGCGTATGTCAAGCAATGCAAGCACCGCAAAGCACCGCAAAGCAATGCCAGTCAATGCAAATCAACGCGAAGTAAAGCAACACAATGCCGAACAACCCCAAGCAAACCCAATGGACGCAACAACACGCCAAGCAACGCCAAGCAATGCATGACAACGCCAAGCAACGCCAAGCAACGCCAATCAATGCATGACGACGCCAAGCAGTTCCAAGCAACGCCAAGCAGTGCCAAGCACTTCCAAGCAACGCCAAGCAATGCCAAGCGAAGCAAATCAATGCTTTATTTTGTTTGCTATTTACTCATAAGTTTTACTCGAATTTGGGTCGCGCTGGCTTCGTGACTTCTAGGGCAGCGAATTCAAAAGGAAGTCTCAAGCGAAACGCCCAGCCTTGCCTGCTGACACGTCGGGTGGTGCGACAAGGGGGAGCCGTTTAGTAGGCAGAGGAATGGAGAAGACCAGAGGAGGAGATTGGATGGGCAGGAGGGGAAGTAGCAGGAGGAGAGGAGGAGAGGAGGAGAAGGAGGAGGAGGATGAGGATGAGGAGGGGGATGATAGTGATGGTGATGGTGATGGTGATGAAGATGGTGGTGATGATGATGATGGTGGTGGTTGTGATGATTGTGATGACGATGATGGTGATGCTGATGCTGATGCTGATGGTGGTGGTGGTGATGATGACGATGATGCTGACGCTGATGCTGATGATGCTGACGATGACGATGACGATGACCATGACGATGACGACGACGACGATGACAACGGCGATGACGACGATGATGATGATGTTGATGATGATGATGATGATGATGATGATGATGATGACACTGATGATGGCAATGATGATGTTGATGATGCTGATGCTGATGCTGATGATGATCGTGGTGGTAGTGTTGATGATGCTGATGATGATGGTACTGATGGTGATGCCGATGCTGATGATGATGCTTGTGATGGTGTTGATGATTATGATGATGGTGGCGGTGGTGGCGACGATGATGGTGGTGATGATGACAGTGATGATGACGACGATGATGACGATAATATCGATGATGACGACGAGGATGGTGATGGTGATGATGATGATGATGATGATGATGATGATGATGATGACGATGGTGATGATGGTGGTTGTGATGATGATGATGACGACAATTATGATGATGATCATGGTGGTGATGGTGATGGTAATCATCAGGATTGCGACGATGACGGTGGTGATGATGATGATGATCATGATGATGATGATGCTGATGATGTTGATGTTGATGAAAATGATGATGATGATGATGAGGACGAAGAGGAGGACACTGATGATGACGATGGTGATGATGATGATGGGGAGGCGGAAGAGATGGAGGAGGAGTAGGAGGAGGAGGAGAAGGATGATATTATGATGGTGATGGTGATGAGGATGCTGATGTTGATAATGATACGCGTGAACCTGTACGACTGACGCTCTGCTTACATCTCTCATGCCTCAGTCTTGGCCGCAGAGCAGAGAGTGCAGCTCCGCCCGCTCAGACCTGAGCGTAAAGGCGTCGAAACAGAAACAGAGGATTATGAGGATGATGATGATGACGACGATGACGATGAGGGTGATGGCTATGGTGATGATGCTGAAGATAATGATGATGACGATGATGATTATGATGATGCTGTTGATCATGACGATGATGAGGAGGATGAGGATGAGGATGAGGATGATGATGGTGATGATGTCAATGATGATGAAGATGGAGATGGACATGATGATGATGATGATGATGATGATGATGATGATGATGATGATGGCGATGATGATGATGACGATACCGATGATGATGGTGATGGTGATGGCGATGGCGATGGTAAGGGTGGTGATGATGATGCTGATGATGATGACGATGTTGATGAAAGTGATGAGGATGATGATGATGTTGATAGTGGTGATGTGATGATGATGTAGATGATTATGGGAAGGATAATGATGATGGTGATGATGACGATGATGGTGATGGTGGTGATAATGATGCTGATGGTGGTCATGATAATGATGCTGATGGTAGGGTGATGATGCTGGTTATGAAGTTGATGATACTGATGATGATGTGATGTAATGATGATGTTGATGACGATGATGATGATGCTGCTGCTGATGATGATGATGATGCTGATGATGATGATGATGATGATGATGATGATGATGATGATGATGATGGTGGTGGTGGTGATGGTGATGGTGGTGGTGTCCGTGAGGAGGAGGAGGAGGAATGAGCAGGAGGAGGAGATAGAGGAGGAGGAGGAGGAGGAGGAGGAGGAGGAGGGCGGAGGGTGAGGGGGTGAGGAGGAGGAGGGCGGAGGGTGAGGAGGAGGAGGAGGAGGAGGAGGAGGAGGAGGAGGAGGAGAACCTTCCCCTTCTGACTCTCCCCCTCCCGCTCCTCCTTTGAGGCCAGCTGCCCTGCTGGGCGCTCGGGGCGGCCGTTGCCACGGAGGGGGCGGGGGGCGCGCGCAGGGCTTACAGCTTCCCTCCGAGTCCCTCCCCCCCCCCCCTGGCCAGGAGCAGGAGGAGGGGGCCACGTGCGAACCCTACCCCTACCCCCCACGATTTCTGAGGGGGAGGGTGGGGTTCACTTCGCTCGGGAGCTCCCGAGCGAAGTGAACCCCACCCTCCCCCTCTGAAATCGTGGGGGGTAGGGGTAGGGTTCGCATGTGGCCCCCAAGAAGGAGCAGGAGGAGACCAGAGGCGGAGGAGGAGGAGGAGGAGGAGCTTCCCCGTCTGACCAGGAGCAGGAGGAGACCGGAGGCGGTGGAGGAGGAGGAAGAGGAGCAGGCGTCTTTCCCCACTATCCTCCTCCTCCTCATGCTCATTTTGCGCTTTCCGACTGTACGCTTACTGGATGCTTGTTGTTTTGTTTTGTTTTTGTTGATCCGCTGTTTGCCGAATAAGTAACCATGCGTGGTTCGTTGCCTCTAGCAGTCTAGTGCAATATATGAGTTCGTGTTCTGCGGGACTGTTGCAGTTTAGCTTTTGTGTATGGTCATGCTCACTATTCGCGCCTGGACGGGCGACGCTGCTTGCTCTTTTCCGCCCTCCGTGTGGCCAGTGCGCTCCTCCCCTCCTCCTTTCCCTCCCCTTCTCCCCCCTCCTCAGGAGGAGTGGCGGATGGGGATGGGAGTGGCAGGCAGGAGGAAGGTGAGGGGGATCATGTCGTTCATTGAACGGCTCAGTGCATTACTGCGGGGGTGCAGCAAAACGATAGCGATGATAATGATGATGGTGATGACGACGCTGATGATGATGGAGATGATGATGATTTTGATGATGATTTTGATGATGGTGACGATGATGATGCTGATGCTGATGCTGATGCTAATGTTGCTGCTGCTGATGATGATGGTAGTGATGTTAATGTTCATGATGATAATGACGATGATGCTGATGATGCTGATGATGCTGATGATACTGATGGTGGTGGTGGTGAGGTGGTGGTTGTGATGATGATGATGGTGATGCCGATTACGATGATTATGGTGAAGATGGCGATGATGCTGACGATGACGGTGATGATGATGATGATGATGATGATGATACTGTGGATGCTGATGATGATAATGATAGTGATGATAGTGATGATGATAATGTCGATGATGACGATGATGATGGTGATGATGGTGATGATGATGAAGATGCTGGTGACGACGACGATGATGATGGTGATGATGATGACGATAACGATGATGGTGGTGATGATGCTGATGGTGATGATGATGAGGAGGAGGAGGATGACGATAACGATGATGGTAATGTGGTAATGATGATGACGGCGGTGATGATGATTATGATGATGGTGATGATGATAAAGACGACGCTGATGGTGGTGGTGGTGGTGATGGTGCTGATGATGATGACGATGCTGATGCTGATGCTCATGATGATGATGTTGATTATGATGATAAGGAGGATGAGGATGATAATGAGGATGAGGATGAGGACGATGATGAGGATGAGGAAGAGGATGATGATGACGATGATGAATCGATGGTGATGGTGATGGTGATGGTGATGGTGATGGTGATGGTGATGATGATGATGATGATGATGATGATGATGATGACGATGGTGATGATGATGATGATGATGATGATGATGATGATGATGGTGGTGGTGGTGGTGGTGATGCTGCTGATGATGACGACGACGATGATGATGATGATGAGGATGATGATAATGATGATGATGATGATGATGATGATGATGATGATGATGATGATGATGATGATGATGATGATGATGATGGTGATGATGATGATGACCGTGACGGCGATCGCGATGGCGACCGCGACCGCGACCGTGAAGAGGATCTCTCCGCTCCTGACCGACTTTTGCCCCGCCGCCGCCCAGGCCAGACTGCTGCGTGACCGCCGCCGCGCCGCCCTGTGGGAGATCCCCTGGAGGATTTCTGGGTGCCCTGGAGTGCCACGCACGAGGCCGCTGTAGATGGTCGACGGCGGCCAACATTTCTTTCTCGATCCTCGATCCTCGATCTTCGATCCGGCCCCTCCTCCTCCTCCTCCTCCTCCTCCATCCTCCTCCTCCGGAAGGCGACGCCCAGAAGCACGAGAGTATTTGACGCTTGCAGCTTTGAGCTGAAATGGACTTCTGTCGCCTGACTGGCAGGATCGTAGGGTGCTCGTTCTTCAACGGGGCGCTTCTGGCAGTAAGAAGAACGGCCTGCCGGGCCTTGAGAGGAGGGGCGTTGGGACGGGAGAGTGTGTTTCAGCATTGCTGATGTATTCAGTGGCCACATGTGAACCCTACCTCCGCCCCCCCACGATTTCTAAGGCCCCGAGCAGGGTGAACCCCCACCCCCTCTTAGAAATCGCGTGGGTGGGGGTAGGGTTCGCATCAAGTTAGCCATCTCGAACGAGCCAGAGGGCTCCGTCCACTCCCACCCGCCCACCCGCAACATAAAAAACAAGTGCGTCGCGTCCGACGCCTGTCGCTCATCTTATACCGTGGGCGGCTAAACGTTCAGCGCGCGACATGAGTTGCGTCCTATTCCTGCCGCGCGTTGACCAACTTAGACGAGAAACAAAACCGCGCGCGATGTACGCCGCGCCCAGTTCCTCAACCCGACGGGCCGCAGCGTCGACGACAAGAAAGTCCATGTTGACGAGCAGGCGTCCCTACGCGATGTGCGCCGCGTCCCATTGCCGCTACGCGATTCGCAGCGCCGACGAAGAGACAGTACATGTTGGCAAGACAAGAACGTCGACGTTGCGGTGTTTTTTTGACAGGAAAGACGGGGTCCCGCGTAGGGTTGGCCAGGCGTCCGCGCGCGATGTGCGCCGCGTCCCATTCCTGCAACATTTGTTGCAGCGTCGACGACAAGAAAGTCCTCGTTGACGAGAAAAAAACGTTGACTTTGTATTGTTTTTTGATGGGTAGGGCGCGACCACCCGCTTAGGGTTACCCATGCGATGGTCATTCCGTTTTCTATTGCTAGGTTTTTTGCAACTCGACGACATGTTGGCGAGAACAAAGTTGACCGTGTGTTGTTCTTTGACAGTTAGGACGGCGGGGCTGCCATCGGCCGGCTAGGTGGGGATGTGGGGTCTTCAGTCGTCAGAAACAAGGGCATGGCCACCTATGTATATCGGGGTTTGCTCGGGTCCTCCTGCTCTTGCCCCTCCTCTGCCTCCTCCGTTCCTCCTCCTCCGCCTCCTCCTCCTCCGCCTCCTCTTCCTCCTCTTCCTCCTCCTCCTCCTCCTCCTCCTCCTCGTCCTCCTCCTCCTCCCCCCCTGCTCCTCCCCCTCCTCCCTTCCTCTTCCTCCTCTTCATCCTCCTCCTCCTCCTCCTCCTCCTCCTCCTCCTCCCTTCTCCTCCTCCTCCTCCTCCTCCTCGTCCTCCTCCTCCTCCTCCTCCTCTCCTCCCTCCTCCCCCCCCCTCCTCCCCTTCGTCCTCCTCCTCACCTTTCTATTCCTCCTCCTCCTCCTCTTCCCCAACCCTTGTGGTTCAGGTGATGATTTCTGAGCTTGCAGCATCAGTCTTCAGAGCGGCAGTCGTTGCTGCGAGCCGTTGGCTCGGATTGCTTTTCAGTTCAGTTTGCGGGATCTCAACCCACATGCTCCGCGGGGTGCTTTGGCGAGGCCCTCGCTACATGTCCAATGGCGGCGAGGTTTTTCCTGGGCCTCGGACTCCTTACTGGTCTTGTGGAGGCTGCGGGTTCGGCACGAAATGGGCCTCTCGCGTGCAATGTGGACGTGGACGTCCCGCACCAGCACACATTGCCAAGGCAATTCGAATGCAAATTGAAAAAAAAAAACGGCATCAATTCCCACACCAGGTGGCCAGCGCCAACCAGGAGGAGTGTGGGTTAACAAGTCGCCGAAGCATTTCGACGTATCAAAGCAGGAGGTTTTGCAGAAGAAGTTCGACGCGCTGGTGGCTGGAGGTAGCCTACCTACAACCCCGACTGGTGGGGCCAGTGGCAGTGACAAGGGAAACAATGCCACCGAGGGCGCCAAGTCTGATAAGACGGACAAACAACAGCAGGATCTTCGAGACACTATCCAGCAGCTCGAACAGGTTCGGCTCACACTTGGAAACGTACCTGGTAGTGAAGACACCCAAAAAGCTAATGAAGCACAGTTGGCTGAGGCTCTTCAAAAACTAACGGCTCTCGAACCTGCGCTCACAATGCACACGAATACTGGTCACCGTTTGCAGAGGGCGGAGATCAAGCTAGACAAGATCGTGGAGCAGGTTTCTCAGCAGTATGAAATCATCCGCAAGGAGCAAGATAAGTTCGCTAGCCTCGACGCTCAGCTCGTCGCCGCCCATAAGGAAGTCGCACAGTTGCAACATCAGTTGGTGAAGACTTTGCCAGTCGAGAATGGCAAGGCGGCTTCGCTGGATTTGGAGGGATTGTCTGATGATCCAGAAGGTAGCGCCACACTCGCCAGCCCGTTCGAGTCAGATGCCTTCGAGCTGTTCCAGGAGGCACTCGCGCGCAAGCAGGCTAAACAGAAGGAGCCTCGCATGGCACCTTCACCTTTCGAGCGGGAGGCTGATGCGCCGATGGAGGGTGGAGGCCATCGCCCTCCTCGCCAGCCTTTCGCCGACCACATGGGCGCGGTGGCCGAGCGGAGGCGGGCCCTGCGGGTGAACCAGGCGAAGGGCCCCACCGGCACAGACTCACGCAGCGCCAGCAGCTCCTGAGCAGCCTGGCGCGGCCGAGCAGCAGCGCGGCCGAGCAGCGCGTGCCCGACGCGGAGCTCGAGGCGCTCTACTCCTCAGCCCAGAGGGTCGACGAGCGTCAGTTCAGTGAGGCCGTGGCGGCCCTGTTTGCCAGGCGCCAGCGGCGCGGGCAACCCCGCGCCCAGGTGTTGCGGACTGCCAGTGTCTGAGCGCGGCAGCATTCAGTTCCCTCCTCCTCCTGACCTCGACTGTGAGGGCTTGCTTGGGCGGGGGAAGGTGTCGAGACGT